GGTGAAACAATACCGAGTTGAATCAAGGATTTTAGCATTCTCTTCTAATAAACAAGGTAAGTTATCAGTGAAGTATTGGTGTTTCTGAAATACGAAGCTGAAAGCAGCCTTGAGATAGTGGCTCAGCCCACACAGCCATGTGAAAAACAAAACAAACTTGAATTGCTTTCTGTATGACGTTATCAATCTCTCACATAAAAGTGGAGGAATTTTGGCCCACTCCTTTTTACAACATTGCTTCAGTTCATTGATGTTTACCCACAACTCTGTTTAAGGCCTTCTATGGTATTTCAGCCAGGAAGGGGTGTGGACTTTGACTGGTTCATTGCAACATACTGATTCTGTTCTTTTTCAGCCATTCAGCTGTGTTTGGGATCATTGTCCTGTTGCGTAACCCAGTTTTGCCAGAATTTTAGCTGTCGGATGAATGTTCTTACATTTGACTTTCGAATACTTTTCGTGGTCGACTCGTTGACTGCAAGGTGTCCGGGTCCCGTGACTGCAAAACGAGCCAAAATCACGATTCCCTCCATTACCATGTTTGTGCTGATATGATGTGTTTGGGTTTTGTCAAATGTGGCACTGTGTATTCTGGTCAAACATCTCAACTTTGGTTTGGTCCATCCAAAGGAAATTGTTCGAGAACTCTTGTGGTTTGTTTAGATGTAATTATGCCAACCTATGCTGTGCTGCCGTGTTCTTTTATGACAGAAGAGGCTTTCTCCTGGCAGTCCTTACAAATGGGCTGTACTTTTTCAGTTTTTTACGAATTGTACTGTCATGAACTTTAACTTTTAACACGCCAACTTACACATGTACAGTCTGAGATGTAGCTTTTGGGCAGTTTTCTGAATATTACTCAATCTGACCTTGGGGTGAATTTGCTGAATCGTTCACTCCTGGGAGAATTGTGGCATTGTGTTACCACACACCTGACTGCTCAATGCCAATAAAGCGCTCAAACGTTTGCTTTCATAGCAGTGCTCGCACTTGCTGATGATCAACTGTTCATGTGATTAGCAGCATCTGACAACAGCTACTTAACATTGTAATTCCTGTGAAAGCAGCATGAAAGCATGCTACTACCACTAATTATTCGATCCTAGTACTTATTTTCAAAAAGGATGTCTTGATGGTTTTCAGTTAAATAATTAGTTTTTGTCTCCTTCAGTGATGGAACCAATCTGGTAGATTTCACCTTTGTGGAGAATGTAGTTCATGGACACATTCTGGCTGCTGAACGGCTGAGAGCAGACTCCCCCATATGTGGGAAGGTGAGTTAAAATAAAATCCACAGCAGTGGTGGCACCAAGTGGTTAACATGCTTTTCGATCAGTTAATTTACTTTAATTTTTCTCCATTTGTCTTCCAGCCATATCACATAACCAACGATGAGCCAATTCGCTTTTGGGACTTCATGTCTCAAGTATTGGTGGGTCTTGGATATCCTCCTCCCCGCTACCACCTGCCTTACAGTTTGGTGTACGGACTGGCGCTTCTCCTCTGGCTGCTGTCCGTACTATTGAGTCCTTTAATATCTTTCAAGCCAACTTTTACACCGATGAGAGTGGCTCTGGCTGGAACCCACCACTACTACAACTGTAAACGTGCCAAAGAAGACCTGGGCTACACACCACTGGTCAGCCTGAAGGATGCGATTGCACGCACCGTAGAGAGCTATCCTCAACTCAGATGCGAGGCTTGACAGGTGGCTGGAATTAGAGACTGCTGAGACATGTAGAGCTCTGGGCATTTATACAATTAAACTCATAATGAGAATAATGTGATGCGGTAATACTAAATGGAAAATGATGGAAGTCACTAGTGCTAGATAAACTTCACCATGTGAAGCATTTGTATGCCTTTTTTATTTTTCATGCAGCATCCCACCAGTAGATGGCAGCAGATGGTGCTGGTACTGGTGCCCTTATTGCAGTCTGATCATACACAAACTGCAGAGTACATCCACTCTTAATGCCAGTACAGTGATCACAGCTGATTTTTGTTGTCTTCTGTTCTTTGTACTTGTAAACACTGAGATGCTGCTCTTGAGATTTCAAAATGCCTTTATACATTCCTCCACATGCTCTTGATAGAACATATATATATATATATATATATATTTACATGTGTGTAATATATGATTATGTGAATGTTTGGCCTGGAACAGACGTTGCACAAGTTTCTGACATGCTGTTAAGTGAAATCTTCAGCGATACTGTAGACAGTCTTGTGCTTACATATTTGTTCCAACTGTCTGGGCAGAAAGTCCTTTGCTGATTAAACTTGACAATGCCCTCATGCACAACGTGAGGTTTTCTTAGGAAATGTTTTTCAGAGTTTGGAGTGAAAAGAACTTGAATGGCCTTCACAGAGCCCTGACTTCAACCCTGTCACATACCTCTGGGATAGCTTAACTGGCTGATTGTAAACCAGGTCTTATTGCCTAACATCAGTGGTTGACCTCGCTGATCATCTCGTAGCTGAAAGGGGACAAATCCCTGCAGTCAGGTTCCAGAAGTATGTGGAAAACTTTTCTAAGAGAATTGACTGCACCGTCACTGCAAACATGCCCACGCAAACAAGGCTCTCAGACGCGTCCTTCAGCCATAAACCGATACAGAATTTCATTGAAACACTAATTGGTTAGAAATGCATCTGCAGTGTGGGACATTACAGAAAAAAACAAGTCCTAACTTGTTTGGCGTCACGACAGAAATCAGGATTTTGACAGCCAATACATTTGGGTCTCTCTTTATTACACACTGTGTTGAAGCCAAGGGGATTTCTTTGTTGTTGTTTTTTTTTTTTTTTTTTTTTGTAGTTGTGGTAGTTAGTGCAGCTTTATTATCTGCTCTTTGCTTACCTGGCAGCACTTTTACAAAGTTGCCCACACCTTGCCTGCAGGGCAGAGCCATCTGTTATTTTTATTTAGTCTCTGCAGTCTGCTATAACTCCAGACCTCCCCAAGGGGGAACTACTGTTTAAACAACACTCTCACATCATTATGATTTTTTTCTTTTTTTTTTTTTTTTTTACTGTTCATATTCCCTATGAATATCCAACCACTCATGTCTTCATCTGGTTTGGGCTGGAACATCTCAGCTGTCATAGGGTGAGGGATGGGGAATGCACTGGACGCACCTGTTTGTTAAATGTCTAATAGAGTGATTCACACTTACACCTACAACCAATTTTAAATCACCATAGTGCTTAATGTGTAGGTCTTTGGACCTACATGGGAGGAAGCCGTAGTACCCACAGAGAATCCGCGAACTCCACACAGAAAGGTCATGGCCAGGCAGTGGATTCAAACCCAGGATCTTGTTCCTGCACAATGAGAGAACAAACCTCTGCCAACCTCTGTACCAAAATACTTCCTTGGGTCGGTATCTTGTGTTGTTGTCCACGGGGACGACATCCTGAGGAGAAAATTAGCAGAATTTGAGTGCACCATTTCTGATATAAGAGGAGAAATAAACACAGCCACCAGTAGTGGTTTCAGTGCACAGGTAAATGCATGCACATCAGTCTAATAAAATTCTGATATGACATCATGTGAACTAGATTAACATCCACAGGTTCCAGTCACTCAGCTGTTAGGTGCTGGGTGTCATAAGCATGGCGTGTGCTTTGATGAGTCAGGGAGACTCTGTGTTATTCAAGCACTGTCATTAAAAACAATGATGGGCTGGGTAATACTAAAACACAGCTATAATCTTAATATTTACACATCCATCTCCTACGTGGAAATGAGAAAGTTGAGATACTAATGAAGTCGTCGACACTGACGTGCTTCACTGCGTTAAATGCATTGGTTACATTACTTAAGTTTGTCTTTTCCCTGTTCAGCATTTCTGTCATTCCATGTCTTGGTGTGGTGAGAATAAGGTGGGGGTTATGTTCAGATACTTTGCATTCTCATTTTAATTCTGAGCAGCAGCACCCTAATGATTCACTTGCTAGAGTCAGAGCCACTGGGCAAGGCCGTCTGACTGGTTTCTTCTACAAGGGAACAAGGGAGAGAGATCCAGGTGAATAATACACGTTATGATTTACACTTGCAAGTGTGCTTGCCAGAGCGACACTTTGGCATTCAGAGTTGCCAATTTCCTCTTCCACCTACTTTCTGTGACTTGTTGTGAAACCTATCTACACCTGTGATTTTGAAACGGCCTCGTAAATATGTACACAGACTGTTTATCGGGTTTTTGTGCTTTTTCTAAGGCACAGTGTGGTTTCAGAAAGTTGAAACTGTGGCCAAATGCTCAGAAAGTGTTCTTTTGCCATTTGTAGGAGAAAAAAATTGCTCGACAATTGCAGGCACATCCTTGACTTTCTCTTACACAAACATGGATATAGTCGCTCGGATTGAGCAAACAGTTTGTTTACAATGGGCTTTCATTTGTTTTTCTTCCTAGGATATCCTGCGTATTGCAAAGCACAGGGTAATCCATAAATGACCTTTACCAGAGCTTATATAAGAAATTCAATATTCACGCCAGCATTCATGATTTTTCCTTCACAGAAACACACGTGAAAGTATAAAACACCTTTGCTTTAAGAATAAAATTAAGAATGTTCCAAGCTTGTGTTCTATTTTTTCTGACGACCGCTGTTTCTCTTCATTATCTCGGCTCTGTGCTGTGTTCTTGTTCTTGTTTTAATGCTTGTGCTTCCTGGGCTGTCCTACCCAGTGAGCATGAGACGAGTGTTTCCCAAAGGAGATGTTGCTGTGTGTCACTTCGTTTATGTTTGCCATGCAGTGCACCTTGTCGTTGCCCCTATGCCTTGCTGGTTCTAAGCATTGATTGCCAGCCACCTGTGCGACAGGTATGTGCTTGCTGTCATCCATGAACAAAGCCCAGATGTAGTAAACAGAAATTAATTCTTAGCAACCTCTCTTACGCACACACACACACACACACACACACACACAAAAGTGGATAGACAAACACACGCTGCTCCACCCCATATTTACCTCCCTTGACTGGCTGGGCTTGTTAGTGCTCACGCCTGTACCTGTTGGCTAATACGTCGGGCTGAGACACCTGTTAGACAGAGAAAGACTTTTCCTCTGTTCACACCAACCACGCTCACTAGGACACAGATCCTCAACAAATCTTCCTGTGCTGGATATAAAGTGACAGCAGGTAGGAACTCTGGTGTTGTTATGTCACTTATTCATGACATGATATGTTGTGTATTTTTAAAGTGTCAGAGTGATCGGATTGGTTGGGTTACATAAACTGTTTGTTGAAAGTGTTCATTATGAGTGTCTGCCCTCTCATTTTCTGGGTGTTTCTTTGCCATGATTGCTTCCCATCGTGCTCGGGGCTTGCTTTAAAATGCTATTGGCTTTCATTAATCATTTATCTCTTATAGACTGATGTGCTAAACCAAAGATAAATATGGTCTCTGAGCCCTCAGTTTGTTTTGTCACCAATATTCAGGAAAATCCTCAAGAGATATTGCGCCGACTTACTCCAAAGGGAATGAATTCACAGCCTAAGGAAGGACTTTTTTTTTAAAAGTGATATTTGCATTCTGACTTTAACAATACTCCACAGTTTTGCATAAGCTCTACTCTGTGTCTACTTTCAGATAAGGGCACACTTGTGATTGTTTCATTAGTATTTTCCCCTTTCTACTGAAGTTCCCCTGAGGACGTAGGCTTGCCTCTGAGCAACTCGTTTCTGTTTTCTGATCCTAAATAGCTGGGGCTTAGTTCATTTGGAAATGAGCGAATAGAAAGCGATATTTGTGTAATCAGGTTAATCTTATGTGGGCCAGTTTATATTGTTACAGAGTGTCAGATACACAGAATGCCTATCTGCGTCCATTCATATTTGGTCAATCGCTGCATATTTTGGAAAGCGGACAAACAGGATCGTCGGCATGTTTTAAGGATGAAACTGAGGAATGTTTGACACAGCACATGTTTCTCAATGGGAGGGGACATAGTGTGGGAACAAAGTTGCAACTCGCTGCTCACATCATACGCCTAATTTTTACAAGATGCCAATCATCTCTCTGAATTATCTGTAATTTAGTGGCCTGCAAAGAAAAGAGAAAAAAGAAGAGAGCGAGAACCCCGTGAAACAAGCATGTCAAAAGGTGAGCAGATTTTGATTTTAATGTGAGATGATGTGTTTCCTCCAATAAAAGCTGGGAGTATTATGCATCTGTGCCGGGCTCTTGGCTATAAATTCACTTATTACCCTGATTTAAGGCAAACTACAAGTGGTTGATGATATAGTGTCTTCTGGCTCAAAGGGGGACTGTATATCTTAGAAGCTATCAAGCAGACAATTATTAAGCTGTCATTATGATGCAGCATATAGTGTGTATCATATCTCAAATGTGAGCTTGCGTGCGGGTGTGTGATATGCACATGTTTGTATCTCAGAGGGAGACAGAGCGTCCGTGCTGCGTACCACCAAAGTCCGGACAAGGCTGAGGGGAGACGCCAGCTGGTTGCAACGCAGCAATGACTCTAAGGATGAAACGCAAGAGGAGAAACCATGGTAAACACCCCTGTTTAAGCACGATACCCATCATCCCGTTATCATCTACTCTGTCACATAGGAAATAAATGAAAATAAGATAAAACCAAATTCCATTGCAGGATAGCAGAAGTTAAAGCCAGCCGTCTGAGCGGAGCCCCTGCTGACACCAGTCCAGTGTCTTCGCCAACAAATTCTACTCCACCACCAACCAAGTATGACACGGAGAGGTAAACCCAGGTTTTTAATGTCATAGGCTTATCTGCAGTTCTTTGAAACATGACTGTGCTGATAACAAGTCTCTGTTTTGAGTTTAGGCAGCCAACATCCGGATACCTTATCAGGTAAGAGAAAGGCTTCTGATATTCTGAGCACCACCATCTGGGTTATAAAATACGTTTACCACAAAGCATATAAAAACATATATATTTATAAAACAGAGATTTTAGTCAGCCAAAGTGGAGTCTCAGTCACCATCACAGTGAACATGAAAATAAACAAACAAAACACACACACACACACACACACACACACACAAACTGTATAAAGAAATAAGGGCTTGTTCAGGACTTTCTTTCTTTTTCTTCAGGGGTGTTTTCACTAAAGTGGACAAGCCTCCTCCATCCTCACCATCTAACGGCTTTAGGTAAGAGCAGCTGAACCACACAGCTTCGACAAGCAGTTTGACCTTTCCTCCATTACTTATTATCTGGTTTTATTGCAGCAAAACACCGCAATTCAACAAAAAGCCTTCAGAGACCTACAAGAAAATGTGAGCAAACGTAAATTCAGAGTCCCAGTTTAACTGCTGGCAGCTGGATGAGAGTCTTTTCACAAGGTGCATGTTTGTGCTTCTGTTCCTCAGAGCCCCCCACACTGTGCGGTCTGCTGCAGAGAAACAGGAGGGCCAGCTTAGCCTCGAGGAGCTGGAGAAGCGGTAAGACTCTCCTTGCGTCCTGAAGTTAGACACCCGGGAAAGAGATTACATTAACATTATTCTGATTCATTCTGCAGGACGGAGAAAGCCAGTAATGTTCTGACGAAATCTGCAGCCAGGCAACGGTCTTACGTGCTTTCAGCTGCAAAGAAATACGAGTACGTATTTTCTCATGCCACTATTCTAATGCTTATCTTGAGATACAGCATGTTTCTGTAATGCTTTCATAAAAGAACAGTGCATATGTTTAAAACTTCCCATGCAGTGGGAAATTCTTTTTATTGACGTGCCTTGCTGAGCACTTACGGAGGCATTCACACAGGCTTTGTGTTCAAAACTCTAAGGTCTCAAGAAACGCCTGACACATCGCTCAGCAATAGCAGTCCAGCATTTGTGGCTACAAGGTAAGCCCTTTTTCCTAGAGGCAAAAAGAAAAGATATGTGAAATATGTGCTCTACACTTGCATGCATTTCTACTTGTGCCATCATGTGGTTGACTAAAAATGTGCAGGGTGGAGATTACTGATGATGATGAGCCTTCTGAGACTCCTGCACCTGCCAGCGCTGTGCTGCCATCCCCTGTTGTTCCTGTCACATCTGTTGCATCCAAGCCTGCGCCCGAACCTCAGAAAATGTAAATCCCGCACCATGTTTCTATTTCCAGTGCAACAAGTGATTTGAGTTTGATTCATTATCTCTGTGGTTTACAGTGCTGACACCAGCACTAAGACAGCTGCTGCTGTGAGTGTTAATGAGCCGGTTGCTCCAAAGTTGGAGAAGAAGGCCACCCCAGAGCCTGCAAAAGAAGAGACCCCTCAAGTGTCTGTTACACAAGAACAGCCAACTTTTGACACCAAGGTGGCTGCTCCCCTCCCTGAACTAATCAAAGATTGTCTTCAAGTAGCCTCTAAAGAGCCACAACCCAAAGAGTCTGGGCAGACTAACACGCCTCTGGTTGATCTTTCGCCACCATCAAAACCCCCAATATCATCTAATCAAAAGTCCCCTGAGTCGACCACTGCAGCGTCTCCTGTCCCGACCTCCACTGTCACCAAGTCACCTGCACCTGT